GATTTGGTGATGGGAAACCCGTGGGGATTACAATTGAGATGAAAAAAAATGTGCAAAATGATGTAAAAATAAACTTTTTAATAAAAAAAAAATGTACTACTTAATCTTTCATAAAAAACCTGGCAAGGGCCCTCCCTGGTGGCGCAATGGGTCAAAGAGCAGCACTCTGAGGCTCTCCACAGTCACTGCAGCACCAGTTGGATCCCTGACCAGGGAATGAACCACATGGTGTGGCAGCTCCCCTCAACAATGCATTTCAGTAGATCTCCCTGCTCTGCTCCCCACTCTGTCTCTGGTAAGTCCTCTCACCCCCCTGTACCTCTGGCCTGTACCCCAGGTTCTTGTTTGCATAAGTAAAAGAAATCTAAAAAAAAAAGCCTGCCAATCCCTGATCTAGACATCTGTCACTTAACAAAAGAACAGCAACTCTATTTCAAAGGACAATAAACATGGAAAATACATTTGTCTCAATGCAGTAAATTCTTTGTTACCTGACATTGTACATACTATGTATCTAAACTGGTAATGCCTTGCTTCACAAATACAATGAATGGCCAATGTTGGACAAATGAAATACCTACAAAATTCTGAGCTATGTTCTAAATCAAAGGGTTTAAAAACATTTCATTCCTAACTATATTTAATACTCATTTTGAGTGCAGACCTCTGTCAGAAATAGGAGAAGAAAGGAAACAAGTAAAGTGATCTACTCAAATTGTGTTTCACCCATTCAGAAAAATTTTTGACAATTTATCAATAGGTACATAACTTCTAAATTATACCTTTAAAAACAGCTTCGGGAGTCTGGTTCTATGGAGAAGTTGTTATACTTTCTTAGCAAAAGGAACAATAATATTATAGAAACCTTTGCAACCTCATTTGGAAAGTGGCTTATGTCAACCAAGAGTTGAATTTAATCAACAGACTAATGACAGCAAGTCATGATCATAAAAGTTATCTAACCTCAGTCATGAAGGATTTGCTTTTTCATCTCTCACTAACTAGGGGTTTCAAGATTGTATTTGCTTATTTCTCCTGTGATATCCCAGGGTGACCACATGCCAGGATCCTAAAAAACAGACTGAGTAACTTCCCAGCAGGCTGGCATAAGTCAGCAGTCCCAGAGAGAGAGGATAAAGCTTTCTTTTCACAAGTGTAGCTCAGCATTCCTGAGAGCTTCTGCCAGAATCAGAACACTTTATAGTGGGCTCTCTTAGTGGGCATCATTAGGCAGTATGATATTTCAAATTAATTGAGAAACCACTCAATAAAAACCAACAGAGTTAAATGTTATAAAAAAAAAAAAAGTAAAGAATGACCTTTATGATATGCTTCCAAATGTTTAAAAATATTTACAGGACTTTCCTAGACTAATATAAAAAGCTCAATTTGAGTATCTGTGGGAAAAACTTGAATAAAGCAAATAAAAACCTATAACTCTCTTGGACCATAACAGGTTATATAAGACCTATGGGAAACTAGATATGACTTATGGCAATTTTTATAGAACAATTGCTGCCTGAAGAAGTTATTAGTAGGAAATCCCTCAACTCCATATGAATGAAGTTACTGATAGAAACAAAGGACTCCATTTTTTTTTAAGAAAAGCCAAAAAAGGCCCTCCCTGGTGGCACAGCGAGTTAAAGCACTGCACTAAGAAGCTGAAACCACATCCGCATGAGTTTGATTCCCGCCTGCCCCGGAGGTGACCACATGGCGCGGCAGACCTCTCCTGACCAGCCCGCTGGCCCCCTCAGCAGTGTACTTCGTTGATTTGCCTGTTCTGCACCCCACTCTGTCTCTGGTGAAGTCTTTCGCCACCCCTGAGTCTCTGACCTGTACCCCAGTTCTGTATGCACAAATAAATATTAAAAAAAAAAAAGCCAAAAAAGAAAAATAAGCTAAAACGAATTCTTTAGAAAGTAATTCATATCACAAAATGATTTTTTAAATTATTATTTTTAAATGATTCAACTCAAATTCCCTTAGTATCTCAGTTCACTTAAAACTATTTCATATATCAAAATCTACCCCTATACAACTTTGAATAAACATATCAAAATCTACCCCTATACAACTTTGAATAAACATCTCTTACATTAAAGTAAGTTATACATGTATTTTCATCTCTAAATTAACAAAAAAGCAAAGTACAGACTTACTTGTCTAAGATGGAGAATGACAATATAAAATTTACTAGTAAAACATTCTCAGAAAAATATGCTTAATGTGAGGCAGATCTGAGGACAGTCTAACTTAGAGAACCCATATTTCAAAAATATTTAAAATCCTCTTGACTCTGAATGTACAGTTAAATAAGTTCTACCCCTGATGGTTTGCTGCCACCTCTGATGAGGTTGGTAGCAAGTAGAAAAAACACATACTAAGTTCAAAACTAAAATAACATATCTTTAAGAGAAAAAAAGAATAAGAACCTGAACCAACATTCATTAAAATAAAGTGTTCGAGTGTGTGTTTGCACACATGCGTGCACATACATGCATTTATGTGAACAAAGGATCAGAAATTCAGTAAAATCAAAGTGGGGTGCTTACCAGGACACACAGTAATTTCCTCTGCAGAACTCTCTGGCATAAGGACTGAGCTTCTTTTACTAGTCAAAGCAGCAATGCTGAAAAATGACCAAACCCCAAGTGAATTCCAAGTAAAACAAATCGTAACATAGGACCAATAGCAATGGTGAGTCATTCACAAAGCCACAGGTAATGTGATACCTGCTGTCCATACCACAAAAGCACAAGAGGGACTCAAGGAATCAGTAGAGAAAACTCCAGGCGACAAACAGAGAAAACAAACATGCTTATAATTTTGGGTCCAATGAACTCACTGAAAAGAACTTCATCTTGTTATTTTCACAAAGGTAGACTGAAGGATAAGGACTTTCTATGAAAACCAAAGAAGACAATAGCTGCACTCCAACATAAAGATGTCGAAAGATATTTTATAGTCCACCTCAGCCTTCTGAAGACTAGCAATTTGTAAATTCAGAAGAGAAGATACTGAGATTCTCCTGACAACACCAATTTCCCCTCACCTTGCAGTTAAATGTCCTCTTTATCTCAAGATGTGGCTTCCCAAACAACAGAAATAAGATACAATTCCAAATTGCCCTACAGCAAAAGTCTGTATAGTTAATTATACTCTTTTGAGAAAAACATAATTATGAATTTCTCCCTCCATCCTACCTTCTGGTTTTCCCTGCCTGTTCATGGAGTGCAATCTCTTCCTGTACAGGAATATAAGCTTAAGAGATGTGAGCATCCAACCTAGCCCCTCATGCTTCATAGAGCTTCACAATTAGTTTGATCAAATATGCAAGTGGACGCTTAAAAACACAAATCTGCACATCAACCAAGAACCACAGAAAAGAGAATAACCACACCAGTGAGTCATGATGAGTAACTAAATCCTGATAGGAAACCACAAGTGATTTCTCTTTCTAAATAAAACAAGTCATAACATTTGTTATAAACCCAATTCAGATACATTTCATTCCACATGTAACATTAGGGTTCTATTCAAAGAGTCCATCACAAAACAATTTGCTGACATTTATAAAATGGGCTAATCTATTTGAAGTCAAACCACATTGCCTGTGATTCCTACTCTCTCCTGATGACAATGCGTATAATCATTCATTAAAACCTGCATCTGCTCTGCACCAGGCTCACCACAACAAAGCAGAGGGGCCTGCAGGAAGCAGAAGGCCTACTCCACTTAAAAACACTTCCAATACCATCTCAACAGCAGGAGAATCAAACCAAAACCATATTCCTCAACTCAAGTAAAATACCTAGTACTATCAACCAAAAGCCTAAGAACACTAAATTTCAACAAATAGCAATTGTACCTTAACTTCCATGTGGGAGATGAAGGTCACTCAACACTGAATTAAGCTCCTGAGTAATCCCCAAAGGTCAACAGTGAGATAAGAGGTAAAATAGCTGGAAACCTGATTCAATTAACAGTGAAGCTTATAACCAATCAACCACGATATATTAAAGTGACAAGCCTTAAGATAACCCCATCAATCAATCAGGAAGAATAAATGAGGAGGTAATGTAAAAACAACCATTAAAGGGAGAGATTAAATTAAATCAGATTAAAAGTAGCATAGGATAGGGAATGAGGGTGATGCAGGCTCCGTGTGGCCTGAATAACATAAAGGCTTCAAAGAAGATAGAAGTTTTAACAGGAGACTGAGAAATTGTTTATGGTTTGGATATGCAGATAAATAAGCATAAGCAGAGAAAACAAATGTAGAAAGAGGGCAGAAGAAACAAAGGTACAAGAACCTTCAAGTATAGTTTGTTGAGATGGCAGGATGTCCCCACTTCAGGAACTGTGAAAACAATTTGTGCCAAGATGGCACAAAACATCTGATCTCTTCCACTCTAAATTCTAGGATCCTATGAGCTGAGTATTTAAATAAAGGGAAATAATGATTTCTCCTAGCTTGTGCTAGAAAGATAAAAGATCACTGTGCAGTTTCACTCACATGGCTCATCTCTTATTCTAGAACCATCTGAGAATTCAGATCCATAACAACATATATAATCTTACCTTTGTGAGGCAGGTACAGAGTTTCCTTCCTCAGAAGTTTCTTCAACAAATAATCCTTGAGAAGACTGCAAAGAAATATGCAACATTCTAAATATGTAAGTACAGACCAACAGATTTCTCTTCCTTTAAAAAAAATTCAATTGTTCAACATTATCACTTAGCAATTAGGAATAAGAATAAAACAAAACATTTTACCTAAGTCAGCAAGTTTCAGTAAAAAGAGCATTAACAGGCTCTCCCTGGTGGCGCAGCGGGTTAAAGCACAGCACTGAGAATCTAAAGCCGCTTCCACATGAGTTCAATTCCCGCCTGCCCCGGAGGTGACCACATGGTGTGGCAGACCTCTCCTGACCGGCCCGCTGCTCCCCTCAGCAGTGTACTTCGTCGATCTGCCTGTTCTGCTCCCCACTTTGTCTCTGGTGAAGCCTCTCACCGCCCCTGAGCCTCTGGCCTGTACCCCAGTTCTGTATACACAAATAAATAAATCTTTAAAAAAAAAAGAGCATTAACAGTCTGTGGAGTCAGAGGACTGGGATTTAAATCATGGGTGAGTCACCTACTAATTTTGTAATCTTGGATAAGTCACATTACAATCTGTTTTCTCATCTTAAAATGGTTATTAATGCTTTCCTCACAGAAATTACTCTGAGAATTAAATAATATATGCGATGAACTCTGTAAAATACAAGACATATTAGTTGGTAAGTCAAATAAATTATAATTTCAGAGAAACAGTTATAAAGCTTTTGTTGTGGAAGGAGGAACTATGGAGAAAAGACCAGTTTTCAATGAAAATATTAAGTTGGGGGCAACATTGCAATACAACTAAACCATAACACAGGACATTTCAAAGGGAAGGCTATGACTGCTTTTGCTACAGATTTTCCGCTATTTGGTTTTTATATCTGGCTACAGAAATATCTTTTAACAAATGTTTACAAATATGGCCTGGGTAAAGAAAAAGTTATAGTTTTTTTGATTAATGGTAGGATTGGTACAAGCACCAGCTTAATAATGTAGGTGGAAAACATAATAGCAACTGTGGGAGCTTTTGAGGAAACTCCTGAATTTCAAGGCTTTTCCAATAGATATAAAGCTCCTGAACAAGGTTTTCAGGTTTACCTAATTAGTTAGGCACCTATCACTCAGGAAAATGATAAAATATACTAAAAAAAATAAGAAAAGCTGAGGTGAGCTTTCAGTCAAAAGGAAGATAAAGCTATAAAATGATCAGGTATACATAATCATTATGAAAAATGAGGGTTAGGCAAAACTGTCAAAAGGACTAAAATGCATCAGCAGTAAATATTTCACCTGACTATTTGAAACCAGTAATAACAAAAGTATCATTCCTTCAATCTCAACAAAAAAAGTAAATAGTGACATCTAGTGTCCATAAAGTAGAGTTTCACCTTTCCATAATGACTAGTCGATAAATAAGCCTTGGGACTTAACAGCAATCAGGGCACTAACGTGATAAAATATACCTTATGCTAAAATGTATTCCACTTTTCCTAGTGTTATTTTTTTAATTATTACACACCTATTATGTGCCAGGCATGTGCTAGTTACTTAAATGCATTATTTACCTTTAATACTCACAAGAACCTTTTGAAGTATAAATATTATTTTAGAAATGAGATACATTAAATTTGACAGACTAAATATTTTGCTCAAAATTACAGCTGGTTAAAAGTGGAGTCTGAGGCCCTCCCTGATGGCGCAGCGGGTTAAAGCACAGCACTGAGAATCTGAAGC